TCATAATGTGCAAATAAGTAAATTCACCTTCAATCAGAAGAATCAGAAACAAACAGAGCAGAATTTCAAGGTGGTTGCTTTTGGACTTTGCAATAAAATCTTCACTCTGATATCACTTTATGTACATAGAAAATAGGTACTGTCCCACTAACAAGTCTGACAATGCACCACACTCCACCTAACACATTATAAGACACTGAAACTGCCTGGCTTACCCTGACCTTGCTAAGTGATTCCTTATCTTAGCCTAGTCTTGGTGGTAACAGATAGAAAATCAGTAAAATTCGTAACAAAATCATTATTGTGGTTGACAAAAGCACAGAATTGAATTAGTAAACTTCAAAATTCGACTTGATTGATAAACTTAAAAGGATAAGGACTTTGCATCAAGTTTCAGGAAACATTGTGTAGTCTGGCCGAAAAAAAAAGTACTAATTGGGGAACTGCTCTTAAATGATTATGTCGATAACCTTACCTGCAGAACACCAGCAGCAGCTAAAATCTGTTGCCCATGGCAGATGGATGCAACTGGTTTCCCAGCTTCCACGATTTGCTTCACTATTTTAATAACTTTCTCATCCAATGCCAAATATTCTGGAGCTCGACCTCCAGGGATTACAAGAGCATCGTAACTTGAGACATCAATAGTATCAAAATCAGCTGTTAAAGTGAAATTGTGGCCTGGCTTCTCACTGTAGGTTTGATCACCTTCAAAATCATGGACAGCAGTTGTGCAAATATCACCAGCTTTTTTCTTGGGGCAAACTCCATCAACATGGCATCCTAGAGCTTGAAGGGATTGAAAAGGCACAGTTATCTCATAATCTTCCATGAAATCCTACAAATATTGAGGGAGAGAAATTGAATGATGCTCAGTAACTGTATAAGAATTAGTTCATTAACACAAACGACAAACCCCTTTAAGGGGTCACTTGAATCACACTAAATTAAAACAAGCAGCCAATCTTGATTATTAACAATCTTATCACTGTTGAACAAGTACAAGTTTGATCCAGAATAACAAGTAAAAGAATATTTTGATGTAGGACAGCTTAAATAATCAGCCTGCAACTGCATATATGGTGGGCTTTAACTTTTGGCATTGTAGAGAGACAAGTTTCAGTAGGATTCAAAGGATTAGATTTTAAAGGGGGGAAAAGGGCTGGTTCAAGAAAATAGGTTGCATGAAATCTGAAAGAAACTAAGTTATGGATTTGGGGCTGCGTTTGGACTTCGGCGAGCTAATAAATGGTAATATAGGCAATCGTTCTTTATTCAATTTCAACATAAAACTTTAGATTTGAAATTCTTGAGTAGTTTGCTTCCCTTGGAATCATGATACTAAATGTAAAGTGGTCCTTTAAAATTCATAAGGGAGCTACTTGTCTATGTATCATTCTAAATCCAGAATTTGCACAAATGACCTGAAAATGGGCAGTATGCATGCTTGGATTTACCTTCACATTTCACACAAATGACCTGAAAAACAAGTATTCCAATGTGAAACACAACCCAAATAAGCAAACCAATGAAGCATACCGCCAACACATTGCATACATACATAGGAATGAATAATAATACCACATCACAATTTGTGGCAAATCTGGTAAAGCATACTGAGGCTTTCCTCCCTCTCTCTTTCAACAGTATATGTCAACATCAGTTCTTTTAAGTTTATTTTTATGCCCATTCATGCATGTAGATAGACAAAGAGAAACACTTAAATATAACTTACTCCACAGAGAAACAGGATCCTCTTATCTGAGCCAGTTATGTTACCCCCCAGTGCGTTCACAAAAAGCCCAATGAACTCAGGATGACCTTCAAATGTAGCCCCAGTAACTAGATTATCATCAACAGCACAACCCGACATGGTCTTAGGTTCTACCCAGTAAGCGCCTGCAGCAGCGAGTACAGGTCCCAGAGTTGGGAACGCAGTACACTTTCGACCTTTAACAGCTCCAGCAGCTGCTAAGACCAACTGCCCATGGCAAATAGCAGCAATTGGCTTTCTAGAATCGGAAAATTTTCTCACCAACCCTACAACCGATGCATCCATAGCAAGATATTCAGGAGCCCGTCCTCCTGGTATTATTAGTCCATCATATTTGTCAAACTCAACGTCATCAAATGTTGCATTGAGCGTAAAATTGTGACCGCGTGATTCAGAATAAGTCTGCAACCAAACATATACAAATACCAAAAGAAAAACACAGATTAAAACAAATGAATACAGCTTATAGATTAGAACATAAATATAGCATTCAAGATTTATAACAATGCATACAATACAAATGAATCATAGCTTTTATAGCCATTAAATAAGGCAAATAGTCCTACCTTACGCATGCCAATCTTCCTAGCTAGTATGTGAAACCATACACTCAAGCATCATATTCGTGGAAGTGCTCTTTAATACATAGAAGCTATATGTGATCCATACATTATTTGATTCATTTGACATTTTTCTGTTTTCTCCTTTTCCAGAACCATAAATATTTGTAGAAGACGATCCTTCTTCTTCTTCGGTCGAAATATCGGTTGATATTTTGGTTGGAATTGGAACCTAGTTCATCCTTTTTCCTTTATCCAACGAAGGATTTTACTGCCGACTTTCATGATTGTTGGAGGGATATATGTAATTTTCGAGTCTTCACTAGAAGAGTTGGAAGTGAGGGATGCATGGAGAAATGAAAATTGTTATCATCAACTTCCACAACAATTGATATTGATAAGATAAGTAGAATGGTTGTAATTACCATCATTGATATCCCCAGAACTCTCCTCCTAGTAATCATTTCCGTGGCTTACTCTTTATTTCCTTATTAATTTCTAAGTAAATTTAAAAAAAAAAACATCATTTATAGAGAAGTTACCCTAAACTTTAAAAAACCAAAAAAATAAAATAGAATAACTTTTTTTATTCTTTATGTTGTTTTTAATTAATTTATAAAAACTTTAATTGAAGAGAATATTTTTTGTGCATAAAGTAATAATATTTTTTGGTTCAAACCAGCCGCCTCGAGTTATTTTCATCTTTGGGCAAGGCCATGCACGCATTCTACTAAGGGAAAATTAATAAAAACTAAAACCTTTTTTATTCAAATAATGAAGAGTCAAATAAAGTAGGGCAAATTTTCAGTTATGTATTCTTCTTTAATATGGAGGTATTTATAAGGAAGTACAATCCTAAATAAAATAGGATATAAATCTAAATTACAATATGAAACAAATCTCAATTATAATAGGATTAGACAAATAGGTAAGTAACCAAAAATCCTAACATATAATAAAGAACCAAAGTGCTATGATTTTTTCTGGACATTTCTGATAGGTAAGGACTTGCTAATACTCCCCCTCAAGTTGGCGCAAAGATGTTTCTCATGCCCAACTTAACAAACGAGTCATAGAACACCATACTCAACATTACCCAAATCGAACAACTGTAGAGAAGTTCACAACTGCAGAGAAGGCCTTGTCGTAAACCATGAGTGAAACAATTGATAAACCAAATCCAAGCTTGCAGCAGAAACACAAGAGCAACCCCTAACAAATAGGGCACATAGCAGAACACAAAAGAATAACACATAAACCCTATGTACAAAGCAAAACACAAAAACCATATGAGCACGGCACTAGGTAAGGCAGAATACAGAAATCTTGTGAGCACGACATAACACAAAAACCTTATGAACATGGCAGAACATAGAAACCCTGTGAGCATGACAGTAGTTAAGTATGAAACATATTCAACAAACTAGATTCCATAATGCGCATCATCCAACTTTTCACGGTAGCATCACCAATTTTCACTTTCTAAATTGTGGATCTTTGCAATATGGGGCATCAGAGTCACCAGTTAGGTGACCCAATTTTCCTTGTGAAGTAGCATAGAGTTCGATCATCCAAGCCTAAATTGCATAGTTGAATCCATTCAATTTGAATTCCAAGGGTGGGTTGGTGGATGATTCAGTATGAACCATCACAATAGGGGTAGGAGAAGCAATAAGTGAAGTAGGACCAGAAGCAGGTGAAGAAATAAAGGCATCAAGATTCGGCATGGTGATGAATGACGGAATGAGGGCAGTGACAACAATAGCAAGGTAGGCAACGACAGTGGCAAGGTAGATGACGACTGTGGGCTAGGATTATGGGTTAGGTGTATAGTGCAGTGGAAATAGGTAATGTTTAGGGTTAAGGTCATATGACAAGAGAACCTAGGTGGCAAGCACTGTGTGTCTATCTCCCCTATCTCCCCGTCAAATCCGAGGCTTGTAGAGGATCAAGATTTGGAAGAAGAGAATATAAGATGAAAGAGAGATGGAAAAAATGAGCCATAAAGTAAAGTGAAAAAGAAAGCCACGTTGGCGTGAAAGTGAAAAGATTTCTTTTGTTTTTGTTTTAGGGAAAATGCAAAAAATAAAATAAGAAGGATGTAAATTTGGAAGGAAAAAAAAAAGGGACAAGAAGTGAGATGACAGACGAAGAAAATCATTTCTCACGTGGGAATGGCCAAAGATTAACATAAAGGGAGGTATAGAATAAAAAGTTGCATATGAGTCAAAAGTCCATTACGTGAGAAAGGTAAGGAGAGAAGTTTTAAAGGAGCCATGTGCAGACATGATGAAGTGCAAAGATGTAAAATAAGGGATTGAAAAACAGAAAGAGTAAGTGAATACTCGTGTTGGGCTGTCGCGGTGCAAAGAGGTGGTGGCATGGTAAAGAAAGGTAAGGTAAAGCAAAGCGAGGTAAGGCAAAGAAAAAGCAAAGGACACGCCCACAACAACAACAATGACGATGACCACAGCAATGGAAAGCGAAGGAAGCAAAGGCAACATCAACGACAGCAGCAACGACCATGACAATGGCAACTACAACAACCATAGTGAAGGAGACTTCCTTCATATCTACTTTAACTAATTCACGCAGACACAACTTCTCTTCACTCCCCCCTCCCCTTGAAGAGAAAGGGTCATTAGAGTCAAGGAATATGCAATATCTTCATGGGAAAGAGAAATATATCATTTTCACTCCTCTCTCTCCCAACCTCCCCCCCCCCCCCCCCCCCCCCCCCCTCCTCTCCTCTCCTCATGTACACCACTCAATCACAGTAAACAAAAGAC